CCATATGCATATGCCCAATCCAATCCACTCATGCCCATTCATATCATCCCATCATTCCCATTCCCATCATCAACACACAACACCCTTCACCAAACACACCATTCTACAACAAACACACCGTTCTACAAAACACCCCACACCCAAGAAGCAAACAACAGACAAGTGCTGTACAATACCCAATTGAATTCATCATACCCAACAACCTTTAACCACAACCCCTCACCTCCCCCCTCGCCACCATCACAAAGCCCCATTACGAAGCTCCAATCCCCAACCCGACCCTCCCCTGGCCATACTGCTGCCCCCCACCAACACCACCGCCACCCCCCTGCCCACCACTCCCACTCCCGCCCGCACTCAACGGCCCACCCCCACCACCGCCCGTCCCTGTGCGCTCCCTCATCCTCCTCCCCTCCATCAACCCCCTCAACCCCCTCTTCTGCAAGCCAATGACACTGCTCAGCTCCCCAGACCAGATCTCCCTGTCGGCACCACCACGCTCGCTATCACCCACCTCCGACGTGCTCCACTCACTCCCGCTGACACTTCGCCCGTAGCGCGTCTCAAGCTCGTTCCACTTGCTGGGCGGGCGCGCCAGGGGACAGACGGTGCTGATGCTCAAGGCCGCCCGCCCGCCGGGCACCCGCCGGCGTCGGAGCTGGCGACGCTGACTGCCCGCGTTGGACGTGTTGCTGCTGGTGTTGTTGTTGGGCGTTGTTCGAGGGAATAGCCTGGCGAGGAGCGTCGAGAGCGCTGGGTGGCGAGCGGGAAGAAGTTGGGGTTGAGGGTGCCGTCGATGCCGCGACCGCCGCCGGCGGCCATGGCGGTGGCGTTGAAGACGGCGGCGGCGTTGCGGCTGTCTAGGAGGCCGTGTAGGCGCTCGATGACGGCCTCGACGAGACCGTCGACGCGGTAGGGGCAGGCGATTTGGAGGAGGCTGCAGAGGATTTGGGGGGTGCAGAGCGGGGAGGAGGGTGCCGGGAGGCTGGAGGTGTAGAGGAAATGCAAGAGGGCTTGGAGGGTGAGGTAGGTGTGCGGGAGATAGAGACACCGTGGCCGACTGTTTGGGGGGAGGGTGCGCGGTGTCGGGGCCGTGTTGATAGCGGCGGGGTCGACTGGCGCTGGCGATGCGCCGGAGGTTCCGCTTCTGCTTATGCCACCGAGCGAATACAAAGTGCTGCCGCTCATATTCCCGGGGGTGATGGTGAGGTTGGAGCTGCGGATCGGGCCGCTGGGTCCGGACACCGAGTTTGACCGCAGGGTAGCTGCGTCGCTGCCGTCCTGCGTCGCCGTGCCCTCCCTCAGCAGCTGAACAAAGTACGGACCCCACCTCCTTGCCACGATTCTCGAGTTGATTGGTATCCGCTCGCCACCGATGCAGAGAATATCCATGTCTGCCAGCTCCCTCAACGCCAGGGCCTTCTCTCCCAGCTCTTCCGCAGCGCGGTTGTGGGACCTCCCGCCGGCGGTAAAACCCGGATTCCGAGCCAGACTCAAACCGGGCCCCGTGTACGGACTACTGGCACTGACAAAGCCGCTCATGGGGGCGGTTTTCCGGGGGTTGTCGTAAAAGCCAAAGGCCTCCAGCTCAACCATGCAGACATTGCTGAAGTTGATCCTGCGGTGATTATAGTCATCCACGAGGCTCCGCTTCCTGTTGCCCAGAACGACGAAGGTGTTCCGCCTATTCCACAAGACGCCGCGGTTCCAGCTGCCCTGGCTAAACACGGCGCCGCCGGCATCGATACGGCTCCACGTCAGGTTTCGGAGGTCCAACGCCCAGAGGGCATATTCCTGTTTTGACGAAGTGAGGTAAGTGCCGCTCACAACGAAATGGGTGTCGATGACGCCGCCGTTGGGGAACCGTAACCCTGGCGGGCTGTATGTCCCGCTCATAGTCCGTTCGCTGAGGTGGCCGTCGGGTGCCCTAATCTGCAACTCCAGTTTGACGTCCAAAAAATTGTAATTGCTGTAAATAAGCATGCTGGACCCGGGCTCTCTCGCCTCCTGGCTGATCCCACCAGCCTCCAGTCGTGGGCCGCCTGGGAATGTCTTGCCGAGTTTCGAGGTAACCGAGGGAGGGAGTGGTGCCACCACGCTGCGATACGCACCGCAGCTCTTCCCTACGGACTGTGTCGAGACCCATTTCAAACTGCGC